TCAAATAGAACTGCCCGGTAAACCGTAGGCAGAGAGGGAGAAGAGGACAACAAACGAGGGGCTGTGACAAACTGTTTCGTCGGAGTTTCACCGACTCATCAGGAGGCTGTATATATATCGTCAAATATATATATATATATATATATTGTCACAGCCCCTCGTTTGTTGTCCTCTTCTCCCTCTCTGCCTACGGTTTACCGGGCAGTTCTATTTGACGATATATATATATATTTCTGGCCTGTTTTTTGGCCCGCCCGGTTTGCCCGGGCGACCTGCCCGGTCGTAGCCCGGCCGGGCGGCGTCCGTACTCAGATTTTAAACTATTTTTATTTTTTTTTCGCCTGGCCGGGCAAGTGGTCCCTGGCCACTCTGGTAGTCTAGGTCCAAATTAAAAAAAAAAAGGGAAAAAAAGAATGGTAAGCCATCTATAACTCACCGTCTCCCACTTTCACAAACAAGATCTGAGCGCCCCTTTTTCCTTCAAAACAAAAAAAAGGAGTCAAGAACCGAAACCTCCAAAGTTCTCAAGCGACCAAAATTTACAGCACCGGAAACGACCTACAGCGTTAGGATGCTTGTGGTACAGAAGCACATGCAGGCAGCAGGACACAGACGATCTTGTCAAAAGCACACGAGTACAGTTCATAGGCTCTTTGACTATGCACCAAAATAGACGAGAAGAGCGAGAAGCAGAGGAGTGGGGCTATAGGCTTGGACGCTGGACCCGGTTTCCAGCCTCAAACCACCGTTACACGGCCCCAGCCTTTGTAGAAATCAATTCATCGCCACCTCCTGATTTTTCGGGCCCGGGGCGCCTTTGTAGAAACCAATTCATCACCACCTCCTGAATTCTCGGGCCTGGGGCGTACCGGACCACAATCGCTGGCGACGCCAGCCGGAAAAGGAAAAAAATGCGCCGCTGGTGGTTGAGCAAAGCTTGGTGCACAGTGCTGTGGTGCCAGGCCCGGTGGTACTGGTGGGATGGTTTCAATAACATTTCTTTCGGGAAAAAAAAAAGAAAAAAAGAAAAAAAAGAAAAAAAAAAAAAGAAAGAGGAATGCGGCCAAGTTAACCATTACCATTTTCAGATGGTAGGATGTGATTTGAAAGAAGCTTGTTGATCTTGAACATGTCCGTTGTCGCGGTTCCGAAAATTGAGCGCAGCTTCTCGTCAAATATGATGTTCTTCTTATTTTGTGGATCCTGCAGATTATGCTTCCTTATATACTCCCACAACATCTTTACAACCTGAAAGCGCATGGGAAGAAAAAAAAAGGCAACACAAATGCCACGGTGACATCTCCAGCCAAAGTTCGACAAACAGGAACAGGTTTCCGCATTTCAAACAAAAACACCGCGGGGAACGTACAACCTGATTTTTTTCCATGCGAAGAAAAGAGAACACGTACGGCACAGTGAAATCTCCAGCCAAACTTTGACAAACCGATTTTTCCCATCCGTTCCATGACATCGCGTAACTTCTGTCTTGCCAATGATCACAAGGAAAGAAAGTTTAAGAAACCATGTGACACTGTGCGGTACTACGCCCGTTTGCTGTGCTGGAGGACCAGTCACAGTTGATGCGATAATGCGGCAGCCTGCTCACCATGGTACACCGTGCAAACCCACGACCATCTGTGCTGGTTTGGGGAAAACAAGTTACGCGTCTTGGTGCTTTAAAGAGCCATCTCTCAAAAAATGCCCAAACAACAAGAGCTTTCACTAACCATCTCTCCAAAAATGCCAGTGATGGCAAAATTTAACACGCAGGTACTGCGCAAGTCCACGACCATCTGTGTTGTTTGGGGAAAACCAAGCTTCGGGTCTTCGTGATTTCAAAGAAGGGGCACCAAACAACAACAGCTTTCAATAACCATCTCTCTAAAAATGCCAGCCACGGCAACTCAACATGCAGAATTCCTTCATTAGATAGCTCCCTCCTCCAGAGCAATGGTTAACGAAGGGCTTGCCGCGTCACAGCAAGCCACAGAGTGGAAAACTTTGAAAACAAACAATATGGAGTATTATGGACTCATAGTACAAAAAATTGTTAAAAAAACACAAAACCAAACAGGCAAAGAAAAAGGGAACCAAAATAAAAACGCACAAAAAGAGTTTAAAACCCAACGGCAAAAACAATTTCTGGTTCTTTGGGACATCCGTTCAAAAATGGAATGATCCATAGAAGATTAGCATGGCCCCTGTGCAAGGATGACATACACAAATCGAGAAATGGCCCAAAATGGGCCAATTCTTTTGCTCCCAGTCCTGCTGCCCTAGGAGCTAGCTTCCATTATCCCTTCCCGTTACTATTTCCTTTTTTTTTTTTTTTTTTTTTTTTTTTGGAACTTCCAGTCGCGGATACCACTTAGGGAGGTGATAAGAGCAGCCTCCCTACGTGAGTCCCCGGTTGAAGACTCCATCTACTGGTGGGGAGCTGCATCTGGTCAGGAAACCGGGTCCAGCATCCCTCATATTACAGGACATATCAATGACTGACAAGTGTTTGGTCAACTGACATATGCTGGTAGAGTTCACTGTCCTTCCTGTTGCCTGTCCCCCCGAGGCGTGGTGAGGCTATGTGTCCCCCTAGGCCACGGCCGCCTCCAACTCGGCCGCGGCCGTGCCACGGCCTAGTGGGGGCGCGCGCGGGAAATCGGCGCGCGCACGCGGGCGGCGCACGTCGTCCGCTATCGGAGTGCGGCAAAAAAATTAAAATTTTCTTTTTTTTGGGAGGGGTGTTTTTCGTGACTACCTAAAATAATTTAAAAAATAGAAAAAAAAAACCATTGATTGATTGGTTGATTGATTGATTGATTGATTGATTGATTGATTGATTGGTTGGTTGGTTGATTGATTGATTGATTGATTGATTGATTGGTTGATTGATTGATTGATTGATTGGTGGGGGAGGGGTCCTCCCTCCCCTCCCCCCGGCACACGCACACCCCTCCCCCC